AGGAAAGGGATTAATAAAAAACTGTCCAGTTATGCTTTAATTGATCTGAACTGTCCCTGTTTCCCAGAATCTTAAGGGTTTAGCAACCTGCTAAACTGAGGCCTTCCAGGATGGGAATTCTAGACTCCTGCATTAACGTCCACAACAGTTGTAAACTCAGCATTGTTCCTGGACATCTCAAACCTGCAAAACAGAAAGAAGATCTGGGAGAGCTAATTTACGAATGTTTGCCAGATAAGAGGAATGTTTGTAAACTGTGAAGGGAGACGTGTCAAGTCTTTCAAACAACACGTACTTAGTGAGTATAACTGTGCTGCACAGCTCCGTTTAAAGACATACAGATCATGTTACTTCTCACGAAACCAAATTGCCCAAGACTTAAAACCTGAAAAAATATTTATATCAAAATGAATTACAGGACATTCACTTAAAATGCAGCGCACATATATACTCCTCGTTTTGGCATTTTTTGTTTAATAGAGTGTTTTTGAATAGGATGGATTTTGTGGTCAGGTCGCCCAATGAATCACTGAGGATTAAGTGTCCCTTCAGGCTTAAAAACACTGCGGTTTCAATATCTATATACAACAGGGGCATGTTGAGACACTCTGTCCGCACTATCATCATGCAGACTTCAGTGTGTGATAAAGGCTGAAGGGCTGCATAACTATGTAACTGGCAAGCTAGAGTTCTATATCCATATTAATCTGTGTAAAATGGAATGCTTTTTATATTGTTTTTTTTTGAGAAACCATCTCTGGATCATTTTAACAAGGTCTGGGCTTAAGTTATTTCAAAGATATACTGTAAATGATATACAGTATACGTACTCACCCTGAACAGAGCCAGCTTTCAGCTGTCACCACTATCTCTCTCCCTTTGTGTATGTACCCTCATATGACAAATGGGATGAAAATGAGGACAAAACCGAATTTGTTATCATTACATTAAATTAATTCAATTTCTGTATGTGTGTGTAAATGTATGCTTAATGTCTTAATTAAGACAAAATGTAATAATAACTGACACCAACGGTGATGGAGTTTCTAAAATCACAGCTGCATCTTATCATAAGGGGAGATATAAAAAATAAGAGCATTTCCAACTCTATTTCCATTTCTATTTATATACCGATATATATACTTATATTTAAAAAAAGTAACACTCATATATAATGAATATATCCAAATATTTGTAACATGAATGTCAAACAGTATTACATTAGATGTAATAAAATACAGGTCAGAGATTTAAAAGACTTGATCAGAACACATAAAACACGACACACTGCCAAAATGAAATTATTACCTAATTAAGCACATAACAGTGGTACAAACCAAAGGAGGCCATTCGACCTTTCTAGTCTTTCTACTTGTTAGTAGATAATGGATCCCAGGATCTTATCTCGCTGTCTCTTGAAAGTTAGTATTGGGTATGACCTCCATAAGCACTGACACAATCCTGGCAGTGCTAACGCACAGACCCCATCAGCCTCTGGACAGATAGCTGTGGGATGTTTTTCCACTCTTCCTGTGCAGCGTCTGCCTCAGTTGTCAGTAGTTGATGACATTAGCAAGTTGAATAATCTGTTGGACACAGATCAGGGGAACGAACTTAAGGTCACAGGTAGACCTTAATTTATTTTTCCTGAAGCAGCAACATTGTAATCCTGTGTATTACTGAGCATTTCAGTTTAGTAACCCCATAGATATGCAGATATTTATGCTTTCCATTCTGTAGTCCAATGTAGTAATGAAATATGTATCAGTTTAACACCATCATGCTTCTTTATTTGTGCTACTGTACGGTATATACATATATACACAATAAACATTGTGTTTGACATGTATCACACAATCTTTCACTTCCCTTCTCAGGTGTGCCTCCTATCGTACGGACAATATGCCAAATATTGGCACCTAGCAAATAGCCAGGTATACACAACTGTCATTCCACCCCAACTTACCCTCAAAAGTGATTTGAAGCTGCTGTGATGGAAATAAAGGTCAACTGAGACTGATACCCATGTGTGTGAGGCAGCCTTGCTGAGATCTGTGTTTATTTTACCTTTGCAAGTTTTCCTAAGGGATGCAAATTGTGTGATGACAAGCAATGGAAGCTTATTCTGGCCAATGAGGGACATTTGGAGAGAAATATGTACCATGAAACCATACAGTCTGAATACAGAGGTTGGGCAGAAAATGTAACTGAGTTTGTTTGCCCAACACCCAAATACACTCACTCTTCGGCACCTCTGTACTCTGTTATGAGCCGTTCCTTGTGGGAAGAGGAGGCATTTTCACAATGTAGATTTCGAAGAGGTTGGATCTATATCTAAACTGTCACGATTATAGTCCCCCCTCCTTAAGGGTGCTCCAGCCCTTTCACTAAAGACTTCATTCTCTGCACCTGTTTCCCATTCCCTTCCCACCTTAAAAGCCAGGCGCTGACGCTCTTCCGGGCTCTGCACCTGATTTCCATATCGTGCGAGTCCGGGACCAGGAAGCGCCTGGTCCCGTTAAGGTTTTAACCTCGGTTCCCGTTCCTGTTCCCCGTCCGCCGGTTCCGACCCGGCCTTCGTGGTTTTTAATTCTTGTTCTGATGGATCTCCTGGTTTTGGACTTACTCATGTGTTTTGGATTTTCCCTAAGGATTACTCTTGGATTGTTCGCCTCGGCCACACCTCCCCCGTGCACCAGCGCACCTTGGACACGCCCCCCTGTCTTCAGCCCCGTTTTCCTGCATGACGTTTCCCTAGTGTTTCCCCACTTCGTCGGACTGTGTCGTCCGCATAGGGTCAGGAAAGAAGTGTTCAAGTGGGTTCAGGTCTAGATTTGGGGTGCTATCTGGGTGGAGTTTGTATGTTCTACCCATGTTTGCATGGGCTTCTGCTGGGTGCTTTGGTTTCCTCCCACAGTCCAAAGATATACTGGTAGGTTAGTTGGCTTCTGGGAAAATTGAATCTGGTGTGAGTGAGTGTGTATCTCTGTGTATTCTGCAATGGACAGGCATCCCTTACAGGGTGTGTCCCACCTTGCGCCCATTACACCTCTTCCCCCACCCTGTATTGGGGTAGAAAACGGGTGGATGGATGTATCTGAAGTGGAAAAAAATCTGAAATTGCAGAGATCCCATGGTAATCTAAAATCTGAGCTTCTAGTAAGGTAGGAATATACATTACCATTCATAAATATTCAATGTGGATAATGTGCTGCTTTTACATTTCTCCCATGGGTTTACCATGTTTATACCATGTATTTACTTTGCTCTGCTGTGATTTCCTGAGGATTGTATCAGGCCCTATTGTAACCCTACACACTTCAACATGCCTTTGCCATGAGTCCACTGTGTTCTTCAGCACTGTAGTTTTTAAAATGGTAGACTTTAATGAGGGTCAAATTGGCGAGGGGGACTGTTGGCAAAAATATCATGTTGAATACAAACCCTTGAGTAGTTGAGCAAAATCAAATGGTTGGACCGTTTATATGGGCTTGATAACCCCCCTCAAAAACAAGAATGCAGGTAATGCTGCCACATTAACTTATATTACTGCTTCAAGGGGAGACATTTTATCAGAAAATCTAAAATGACTTATTTTGTAACCATGCTTATTGTACTCTGATATCCACAATGATCTGTCTCAACACACCTGTGTTTTTCTTAGGACCCCAAAAGGCCAGATTTGCTCAATGAACAGCACACTGTATTGACATGTAGCAGCCAATATGTCTTGTGGTGTTCCCATTCCAAAAAGAAAAATGTTTGTCCAACATTTTGTGCAGCTTCAGGGGAGGTGAGAGGTCACCGTTCTCTCCCAGTACGCCCATTACTGCATCTTTTAAACAATTCATCTCAGGGCAGGGTGAGGCTGGACATTTACGTCTCCAACCCCAGGTGTGGAACTGACAAGTTCAATGTAAGCTTTAGAGCTACACACAACAATTATGGGATCAGTCCAGAAGTGATTCCTGGGAGGAATGAAGGGCATTGAGTGAGGTGATTAGCACTTAAAATTGAGGAACGGCCCCAAGCGTTTCTGAAGTTTAATCACGACTCTGTAGAAAAAAGAAAAACAATCGCTTCACCCAGTGAAAGAAGAAGGATATTTACCTCAAGTGCTATGTTGGGGAATTATCCTAATTGAATACAAAACCTAAATATAATTTAGTTGGCAAAACCTGTCCAGTTTCACAATGAATTTGATTTAGTAATAATAATTACACTTACGTAATAATAATTTACTTACATAAGTTACACTTTTATAGGGATTTTCTGGACACTCCACTCAAAGCCCTTTACAGGTAATGGGGACTCCCCTCCACCACCAATGTGCAGCCCCACCTGGATGATGCAACAGCAGCCAGTACGCTCACCACACACCAGTGGGGAGGAGAACATATTGATGAAACCAAATCATAGATGGGGATTATTAGGAGGCCATGATTGGTAAAGGCCAATGGGAAATTTGGGCGGAGTAACACCCCTACTCTCTTTTAGAAACAGCCTGGAATTTTTAATAACCACAGAGAGTCAGAACCTTGCTCTTACATCTCATCCAAAAGACGGGCCTTTTTACAGTATAGTGTCCCCATCACCATACTGGGGCATTAGGACCCCACACAGACCGCAGCGTGAGCACCCCCTACTGGTCCTGCCAACATCTCTTCTAACAGCAACCTTAGCTTTCCCAGGAGATCTCCCATTCAGGTACTGACCAGGCTCAGTTGTGATTTGCAGGGTGATATAGTTGCTGGTGAGCTGACTTGACAAATTGACTCAGAGACACATCTTGGGCCAATGGGAAGTTTTTCTGAGTGATATTTTAAAAAAAGGTACCGTGAAAAATTAGTGCCATGACTAGTTTGCATACAAGTCTCTGCCCAGCGTGCAGTTTTAATAAAATGAAATGGGAAACTACACTGCTTTTGTTGTTGCATTGATCGCCGTAACTGAAACTCAGTGGGATTCCACTAACGTGCGGTTTCTGGCCATCTCCTTAGGTACATCGGGGCCCTGGGAGCGAGAGTCATCTGTGATAACATCCCAGGGCTGGTCAATAAACAGAGACAGCTATGTCAGAAGCACCCAGACATCATGCAGTCCATCGGGGAAGGAGCCAAGGAGTGGATCAGGGAGTGCCAGCACCAGTTTCGTCATCACCGCTGGAACTGCAGCACCCTGGACCGTGATCACACTGTCTTTGGGAGGGTCATGCTGCGCAGTAAGTGTGTGTGTGAATTTCTCATGTATATAAGTGCAGTTACTTTCACTATTGCTTTCTTGAATCAGTATGGCATTATCCAGGTTCTCAACTGGAATGCTCATTGCACCATTGTACATATGGGTGGCAAAGAGTATGTGAGGCTTGGCGACTAAGGTTTGGGGGAAAGGAGAAGACATCGCAACCTTAAGTTGCCTCCCCGTGTTTCTGCTCATCCATCCATTTTCTATTTCTTTCAGTTCCATTGAGTTGGAAGAGCCAGAGCCTATCCCAGCAAGCAATGATCTCAAGGCAGGGTACACCCTGCACAGGACTTCAGTCTATCACAGGGCAGACAGACACATATAAGTCAATTAACCTGCCAATATGATTTTGGACTATGGGTGGAAACATACATGAGACGCAGGAGAACATACAATCTCCATAAAGATAGCACAGCAGGAATTGAAGCCAGGGCCCCAGCACTACAAGGCAGCAATGCTAACCACCATGTCATCCAACCATGACCCTCTAAGTTCATTAACACTCTAAGCTAGTGTTAATAGCTTAACACTATTCCACATTTAGGAAATTAGGCATCAGGCTGGGATTTCTGCTGTAGAGTAAACAGCGACTCAAGAGTATTTCCTGGTATCTGCAGCCTTGTAGGGGTGTGAATGAGAGATGTGTCTCTGACTCTCTCCCAACTGGGACTGCACAGCTCTTACAGTGCATCAGGTGAGGAATGGCTGGGCAGGTTGACATATCTGAAGAGCTGATGTATGTGAGTCATTCTCTCCTAGGAGTTTGCAGCAGTCCCCAATAGAGAATCTTTTATAGTCTAAATAAGACTGGTAATTCCCAACTGGGTGAGTGTGTAGTACAACATCCTGGGGATTGTAGAGTTTGAACACAAAATTTAGTTACTGGTGGCACAATGGTTAGCACTGCTGCCTTGCATTGACTGTGTTTTCTCCCACAGTCCGTAGACATACACGTAGGTTAACTGGCTTCTGTAAAATTGGCCCTGGTGTGACTGTGTGCGTGTCCGAGTTTGTGTCCAGATGTGCCTTGCCTTGGAAGAAGTGGTTATAAATGGATGGATTAAGGAAAGTGAGTTAGGAAGTGCTAATCTTGGGAAAACAGCAGTTATGATTTTGGGTTTTTTGCATAGTGTACTCCTTCCTCCCTACACTTACTGTCATGCCCTCAGCAGCATGCAGACGCTTTCTAATGTTTACAGCAGCTAATGGACAGCAGCAGGGCAGTGTCCGTGGTCAATAAACACTCAGAGCGTTACAAGTACTGCTATCATCCTAGATTTTATGCCTGATGCCTAAACAGTTTATGCAAGAGCAAACAATTAAGTAGTTTGAAATTTCTGAACCATATGTGTGTCATGTTATGTGGTCATTCCTCTTTGCTTTTGTATAGTGTTTACCTTTTCTTCTGGAGAGGAGCCATTTTCTTGTTGACCAAATTGTGCCTTGAACATTGAGTTGGTAAAGAATGATCTAGAAGCATGTATTCTCATGAATGCTTTCACACTCATTTCCAATACTGTTAGCGATGTGGCCAAGGTAAGGAACCATTTCCTTTCAAGTTTTCCTCTTGTTCAGGATCCCTTTATTGAAATTATATGTGAATGATCATAGTTTCTGTCATAATCCTTTTAGTTCTGTTCATGTGCAAAGGGTGTTTGAGAATGCAGAAACACCTGTGGTAGATTGGCCTCAAAGTTAGGCTATCCAGTGTTGTTTTTTAAATTGTAGTGATTCTCTCTTCCTGGACACCTGCAGGCTAGTTGTGGTGTCAATGAGGAGCACACTTCTTGTCTAATAGCTGCTGTACCCCCCGAATATCTGTGCAGAACTTGTAGTATGTCAAAAGATAACCAGTTTGTTGTTATGAGAATATGGAGGGACATATCTACTCCTTCTCATTCTCCCCCTTTGGGTACAGCGTTCATTACTGTGAGGCGGGACATAAAGCCACAATCATACATCTGTCCATCCACATTTTTTTCTTCTTCCAATTCGGGGGCCGAGCAAGCAAAGGGTACAAGGCAGGGTTCACCCTGGATGGGAGTGCCAATCCATCACACGGCAGACACAGAAAAACACACCTCCCCCCAGGGCCACCGTACTGTATGTACAGTTAATGTAAGCAGTGATCGCCTGTATATAAATACAAACGATTAATCATATACTTGAGTTCTAGCAAATGCTTTGCAATCGTAAAGTTAATTTGATCATGCCTTTTGTGTCTTCTGCACCCCAAGATCAATAATATGATGTTAACTGTTAACTGATGTTAACTATGATGAATTTATGGTTATCAGGACCATAAAGAAGGGAGTCCAATCAATATGTTTTTTCTGTTTCTGCAATACATTTTAATGTATTGTACAGACATAGAGTGACCACTTTGGTTTCACCCCTGTGTGAACATCATTCCTAAATCACCTCTGCACACCACTGTTTGTGCTTAATTTTGCACAATGTACAAGTTGAGAGCGATAGCCGAAAGCCATCCAGAGCTAACATATCTCACGTATTTCAAGGCATCAAGATATGTGCATTTTTAATGATACCATCCAGATGATCATTTCTTTATTTTTAGTTTTAAAGCTGCCTTTACTTTCACTAAAATCATCTGATTTGCATAGGGGAAATTGGAACAATAAGCCGCTTTCAGCTTAGATATATCAGATGTGACAATACTAAAATAACACAAGCTGGAAAGTACAAAATCTGCACCTACTGGACTACAGTCATCCTATGAAATGATTGCATCCCTTACCACCACCCAAGCACGTCTGTCACCCATTTGCGCAGTCAGTGTTCTCATGGTGCCCGAATGTGAGTAGCAGGGAGAAAGATACCTCAGTCGGGACAATACATAAACAGAAATTGGAGATGTAAATATTTGGAAAGACGTTTCTGGCTCAGAGCCGGACTCTAACTCCTTGACTTGTAAGCTGCATAGTGATTCTGTTTATGAAAGGGAATGAACACACAAAGTCCAAGTCTCGGCTAATAACCTGAGGTCTCTTCACTTACACAAACAAACACTCTTACTGGGAACGCAGCCCCCTGCACATGGAGAAGCACAGCAGCTCCTCATTGTGAGGCTTGAGGTCTGAATGTACACTCTCTACTCTTAATTTAGGGCTGCTAGCCAAAGACAAAGGAAAACGGGCCTCAATCTCAAGATCCATACAGAATGTTCCCACAGAGTTCCTGAAAAAGAGGAAACACCAGGATCATTTTAGGGACCTAATTCTTACAGATTCCTGCGAATTGTCCCGCAGAACTCCTCCTGAAAACAAAGTGGAACTATACAGGAATATAAAGGATTCCTGAAAAGGCTTAGCTCACATATCCAGCAGGATTTGTGAATGTGTCTTGTAGATTTGTAGATTTGTGGAGACCATTCAGGACTATTTCTTGTGAAGAGTGCTCCTCTGATGGATTACTGTAGTTTGCTTGTAAAGGCAAATACAGAAAACCAACAGTGCAAATATGCATAACAGTTTTTAATCTAAATTAAATACCTGGGGGCTACATGGTGGTAGAGTGGTTAGCATTTCTGCCTTAAAGTGCTGGAGCCCTCGGGTTAATTCCAGAACTGAGGAGCTATCTGCATGGCGTTTTATGTTCTCCTCATGTTCACATGCATTTCCTCTGGGGACAAAATTTTCCTCCTACTGTTCAAAAATATACTGGTAGGTTAATTGACTCTGGGAAAATTGGCCCTGGTGCACGTGAGTGTCTGTGTGTGCCCTGTGATGTACTGGTGTCCTGTCCAGGGTATATCCTGTGATCATTATAAATCCCAGGGCGTTTCTCGAATAGAGTAATGGTGTTACCCCCACATCCTGGCCAAATTTCCCATTGACCTTTACCAATCATGGCCTCCTAATAATCCCCAACTGATTGGCTTCTCACTCTGTTCTCCTCCCCACTGATAGCTGGTGTATGGTGAGTGTACTGGCAGACTATGGCTGCTGTCACATCATCCAGGTGGGGCTACACATTGGTGGTGGTGGAGGGGAGTCCCCATTACCTGTAAAGCGCTTTGAGTGAAGTGTCCAGAAAAGCGCTATGTAGATGTATGGAATTATTATTAAGACGGGCATGCCTTCTGTCTGAGTTCATGTTTGTGGTTCTTCCTGCCACGCAGGCAGCCGCGAGGCGGCGTTCGTCTACGCCATCTCCTCCGCTGGGGTGGTCTATGCCATTACAAGGGCCTGCAGCCAGGGAGAGCTCAAGACCTGCAACTGCGACCCCCAAAGGCGGGGGCGAAACCGAGACAACAGCGGCGACTACGACTGGGGGGGCTGCAGCGACAACATCAACTACGGCATCAAGTTCGCCAAGGCCTTCGTGGATGCCAAGGAGAAGAAAGTGAGGGATGCACGTGCCCTGATGAACTTGCACAACAATCGCTGTGGGAGGATGGTAAGCAGTAACTGTCTGCGGTATCAAAGTGCTCCTGGGTTGATTAGTTGCCATTGTCCGGCACGCAGATATCAGCTTTATCCAAATAATCCCCATTAAATTGTATTCAAATGGCAGGGGCTGCTTAGAGGCTAGACAATATCAAATTGGAGGCCACCTATTATTCTCCATTTCATACCCTCTCAGTTTGGAATCATTATTTATAGACATTGCACCACATAGCTATAACTCTTGAACAATAGGGGATTATTTAAGACATTGTGCTTCTCCAACAAGCCATCAACCTGAGCTGTTCATCCTTTAATGGGACGCAAGCTCTACAGCATATTAGCAGGGAGTGAGTCCACACTGCTTCATGCTCACCACTGGCCTTTAGATACCCAGCAGGTCACAGGAAGCACTGTTGCACCAACAGCTCAAAGAACTCACTGGCAACATCAGCAGCGCTTGACTAATTACAGACCTTTGAGGCCTCTTGGTGACTGGGCACATAGGAGGCAACATGATTGAACTTTAGTTTTACTCTGGCTGTGGTGTGCTGGACTTCAGAACGGCCTCTGCAAAACATAGGATCAGCCCTAACATGCATGGGGTAGTTAATTCATCTTGCCCAGAATATTTTCAGGCTAGCAAACAGATATGGAACCAAGCCCATTTCACTATCTTCTGTGTTGTTTTTAATTGAGCTGTCTTGCAAACAAGGGCTCTATCTTGACAACTGGGTCTCCTGTTTCAAGAAGCTCAGCAGATACAATGGTTTCCATTTCCATTTCCTTGCTTCCCCTCAAACTGTGCTGTTCCTCTTCAACCCCCCCCCCCACAGGCCGTGAAGCGCTTTATGAAACTAGAGTGCAAGTGTCACGGCGTGAGTGGCTCCTGCACGCTCAGGACTTGTTGGTTAGCCATGTCGGACTTCCGCAAGACAGGAGACTACCTCCGCAGGAAGTACAATGGGGCCATACAGGTCACCACCAACCAGGACGGCACGGGCTTCATGGTGGCCAACAAAAACTTCCGGAAAGTCAACAAAAACGACCTGGTTTACTTCGAAAACTCCCCAGACTACTGCCTGATGGACAAAGCCGCAGGTAGGTCAGAGCTCAGATTGAGCCATTGGTGCATTCCACACTCACACACTGAGCCCTTCAGTCTTTCAGCGATAACATCCTCTCCACTTGCCTGCTCCTCGAGCTATGATCGAGAGCCATGGAGCCTTCTCTTGGCACAATGTGGCAGTGGACAAAAACTGAAGTGAAGTGTTTTTTTACACTATGGCTTGGAAAAGCTTAGTTATGCTCTTTTCATGGTCTGAGGATCACAGATACTGTAGATTGAATACTAAAAATAAATGAAAGGCAAGAGGAAATGGAATCTAAAGGAGCTGTGATTTGTTACCTTATTTTTTATTTCTAGCTGTGACAATCACCCTTATTGTCAAAAGGTTGGTCGGGCTAAAGCAGGAAAGTATTTACAGTCTTAGCAGCTGTTAGCCAGATTTTAATTAAGTTGCCGGGTTAGTGCAATGTCAGTCAGAACACAGACATTTTCATTCATTACACTCATTCATGGGTGGCATGGTGGTGCAGTGGGACTCTGGGTTTGTATGTTATCCATTCGCTCACATTGCTTCCCTCCAGGTTCTCCACTTTCCTCCCGCAGTCCAAAAACATACTAGGAGGTTAATTGGTTTCTGGGAAAATTGTCCCTGGTGTGAGTGTGGGTATGTCTGTGTCCGTGTGTGTCTGCCCTGCAAAGGACTATTGTCCTGTTCAGGGTGAGTCCTGCCTTGTGCCCATTGCTTTTAGAGACAGGCTCCAGCTCCCCTGTGACGCTGAATTGGAAGAAGCTGTTAGAAAATGGAGGGATGGATATTCATTCATTTTGTAGGACGTACAAAAACAGGCTTTCCGTCTGTGATTTAAAATTTTACCTGTTCACACCAAAGGCACTTCACAAACACTCTTGGTTCAAAGAGAAAATGTATGCAAAAATCTGGATTCTTCATTCTAAAATTATTAATACCTACATCTCATTTTTCTGGTTTGTTGAATTCTGAATAGCAGACCGTATTGTTGGACGCCTTCCAGATGTAAAGTGAAAATATAGTTTCGCTACAACACTGACACAGGTATTCGGGTCCCACTGTCTTAGCATCTGGCCTCTGAAATTCTATAAATGTATTTTGTGTTTTTATCAGATTGACAGCAGAAATTGTATTTTGTTTGACATTCATAACCCTTTCTTTTCCCATTCTTCAACTTAGGGTACAAGGATTAAATCTTAAAACAAAGTTTCAATTAGGGTATATGTTTTGATCCGCATGGAGTGATCTATAATTGTTTATTTTTAGAATTTATTTTCCTGTATCCTAAAGTTAATTCATTGGAACGACCACCTGCAACTGGAAGAGCTCAGGATTCTGGTTAATATTTAATGCACATTTGGAAAGATATATCTCTCCTCATTCATATGATGTCGTAAATTAATATTAATTAATTAATAATTAATATAAATGGGTTCAATCCAAGTCAGAATAAAATCAATGCTCATGACAATCTCATCTTGATTGTAGTTTTATTATGAAAAAATATTATAGGTACAACAGAACCCTCATAGCCACTACTGAGAGGCACACCAGACAAGGAGAAAAAATAAGAAGTAAGAGTTTCAAGGGCAGAACATTCAAAAATCTTAAATCAGGACATTAGAAATTCCTTAGAAAGGGCCCTGTGACTATGAAATAAGAAAGCAAATGAGGAACTTTTGGAGGTATTTTTCTCCAGAAACAAAACAAAATAATAAAAATACTACATTAAAATACATTTTCAAATGCTAGATTTGTGGGGGTATTCTCAGAGTTTTGTTATTGTACACAGGCTGTTGTTAAAAAAGCCCAAATTGAACCTTTGAAAACTATAGTGCTGTACATCACCTTGGGTTGCTTCAAATATTTAAGTAATGCTCCTTTACTGTGTTCATATATTAACTAGCTGTGAAGAGGCTGCAGGTTCTCTGAGCTAATGTTCAACATGTCAGCTTGCAAGTGAGCAGTGTAGGATTGTCTGTGAGGATCCTCAGTGTGTGACATCACTCCATGATGTGACAGGAGCACCCATGTTTGGCAGAGCAAATGACCAAGAACTGGGTAGGAAATTCAAACCTGGTGGTCAGTTCCATTCCGTCCAAGAAAATGCTCCCACACACAGAGGGTCCTGGAGTGCAACAAGCAGGGAACAGACTGCCACCCCAAAGTGAAAATGGGATGCAACAGGGAGAACAGTGGATAGCAACTGCTAAGACACTTGATGAGAAGCCTCTAGGCGTTCCAAAGGTCAGTCCAGGCTCTACCCTGAGTTCAGAGGAGCAGGCATTAGGTTTCCAGATAAAAACTGTTCTTGACATCAGAATTTGTTGTTTTGGAAGATGAGAAAAAGGCACGCAAAACATTCTAAGCCTTTTTTTTTTACATTTGGCCCATGTTTCACGGTTGACTAGTGAGTCAATTAGGCTTGTGGTAAATAAAGCAGGGGCCTACCCATCAAATCCTGGGCAAGCCGACATGCGTCCCCTGTGGGCCTGAAATCCTGGCCGGCTTAAAGACAGGTTATAATTGTTTGACCTCCTGCTGCCCTGTAATTCCAGCAAGAGGTATGCAGCCATGCCCTGTAGACTGGGTTAGTGCCTGGAGTGAACTGATAGCGCCTGCCACAGATGCATTCAACACTGCGCAACCTGGGATGATGCTGGTTCAAGTTTGCTCATCTGTGAATCCACACTCTCAATCCTACAGCCCCACAGGGGACTAAAAAACACATGCTAGCAAACATCTTTGGCTTTTCCTTATTCTTTCAGAGCCATGGAAAATTCGGCCTTTCTGTAGCAGGTGGTGCGCTCTGACAAAGTTAGTCTGGGGAGGTGTGACACTATGAGAGTTTCATTCTGCACTGAATGAGGCTGAAATATAGTGTTTTTATTTTCTACCTGAAGAATGCGTAGTGTTTTTTTGGTCGGGGCTGGAATTGGTCAGTAATTTGAAACGTGTCAGCACACTGTAAACGTAAAGCACCGGAGCTGTTCTGGGACCATGTATTAGAACACAATTTGGCCTTTCTAATCTGCCACTAGAAGCTTTTACTACAGTCTGTTGGGGTCCAAGTCTGATAAAAAAAACAAAAAATCAAGACCTTTTACGTTTGGACTATATCCAGGTTAGCGAACTGCTGCCAGACGCTGTCCGACACAAACATGAAAGGCACCACCATAAAATAAATACGTAAGGTTTCCAAAATGTACAAGGTATAGGTTTAATTTTCTGACGATCTGTTACATGAAACATCTATCACGCCGTAAACTTTTCAGAGACGGTCTCTTTATGTAACATCTGAGCGTAATAATGTGCAAAGATGGTTCGCTGTTTAGCTTCTTCCCACAGACCAAAACCACACTAGAAGATTAATAGGCTGCTGTAACAAACACTTGGTCCTGGTGTGAGTGTGAGGGTTTACCCTGTGAAGTCTGGTATCGTGTTCACGGTGTATCCTCCCGTGTTCCCATTGCTGGCTGGGATAGGCTGCAGCTCCTCCGCGACCCTGAATTGGATGAAGTGGCTGGCAAGTGGATGGCTGGGTAACTTACAGCTTCCTTTTAGGATATTTTGGACATCCAAGTATTTTTGGGGTGTCATTAGTTAGAGCACAACACCTAAAGGTTTGGTGCCAGAGGGCATCATACCTGCTTTTGATGGCTTTTGATGCTGTTCTGATGCCCGAAAACATTACCAACCCGATCAACAGCACAGCTCACGTCCTGTTAAGTTGTGTGCGTAATACAGTATATTTTTATTTGGGACAATGGAGATTCCAGACTGGGGGAGGGGGAGGGGGGAACTCCTTACTCATTTTCTGCTTTCTGGGGGTAAAGGCGGTAGTGGGACTGGAGGGGGGGGCATCACTACAGTGAATTCCACTGTGACCCAAGAAGCTCTACCAGTACCGAGTTGGTCAGCTTTTGATTTGTTCATAAGACGAGCCCTATAGTCCAGACATCACTGTTCCCCAAGCGAGAGCACAGAAGAGGGCAAGAACTGCAGGGAATGTGTGTGTTCAGCCAACTGCTGTGTTTGACACAGCAGAAACCCCTGGGACATGTGGGGTACTTGTTGGCTTGCTGGTTTATCAGAGAGCTGTGTCACTCTTCTGCTCACTCGCAGTACAAAAAGAAAAGCCAACAGGTGATTCCAAGTTACTTGTAAAAAAAAAATCTCTACAAAGTGCCTCTTTCTAGTGTTGTAATCACTACAAGTGGTGTCTGGTATAGTGTACTACGTTGATGACTTAAAGCCAGTCTGGACTGAGTAAGAGCTCTAAGAAATAGATTCATCTTCCAACTGCATTATGAATTGATGAATTGTTCACTATTACATTACACAAAATGTTACTTATGTAATATATTCTGTATATAGTGTGCCACAGTGAAGGGCCATATATATTTCAGCAGTTCTAAGCAATAAACATATCAACACACGGGCTCCCTGGAGAAAACTATGAAAAGCCCATTGAACTGTGAGGGACCATGTCTGTTCTGAATTAAATCACTGAAATTAGATATTGCTCTGACAGGTATTTAAAATAAAAATGTTTGGGATTTAAATATTCCAGAAGAAGTATAGGACAGAATTATTCAACAGAAGAATAAGCAAAAGAGGTGGAGAAAGAGACAAAGAAAATGCTGCAGAAGAGGACCACGCATGATTTGTGACTCTTTCTATCTGACGTACACTGTTTTTAGACATCCCTCCCCCACAATTACTCACTCCTGCCCCCTGTTGACATGTCTCAGACAAAAGCCAGTGTTGCTCTAGGGCAGGCAGTGCCTCCCTGGCCAGTTAATCCTTGTCACTCGGACACTCCTCAGCAATATCCCCTCTGGGGACAGCTGGGACTGCAGGACCATGGACAGAGGATGCAGGGTTTTCAGAATTTAAAAGGCCAGATCAAATGAATGACCATGTGCATGTACTATACATATTTATTACCATGCTGATCCAGAGCAAGATTCAAAATACACAATAATACATCATGTAAATGCAAAAAAGAAGAAGTTCAGAGCAGAGTAAAAGAGATCACAGATGCTGTCTGGACAGATGAGACTTGAGGAACTAAGCAGGTCTGGTTTCATTGGGTAAATCATACCTCAAATGTGGAGCCGGGAACGAGAATGAACAGGGCCTTGAGGTGTGGGGAGGGGATATATGAATTATGGAACTAGTGTGGTGCAGTGGTACAAACACGTGCTTTGTGGATTTGCAGTTGTCTCTTGCACTGAAACCCACAGTCTCATGATTACTTGCACAGAAAGCTGCATTTTTACAGTATATAATGAAATACTGGAAAACCTTGTAATGCATAAAGGAATTAAAATGTAGATTCGTTTTAATTACTTATTTGTTTAGTTGAGATCACTGTGATCATTAGGCACTGACTAAAGGAGATTGCTTCTGCAGTACCAGGGATGCAGATCACAAATAGAGAATAAATCCACCAAACTTTCTATATCAGCCTGAGAAGTCATACATATGAGATCACAATTTTTGGGGGGCACAAATTCTTTTCATATTTTACAGTACCTTCTTTCACCTGATTGCAATACCTGTTTTTCCTGTTAATGTTGCTTACTGTCCAATGGTCTATGACTGAAATGCCTGTAGTTTTGACCTCAGCATTTAAACCATACTGGACACACCTGCTATATGTAAAAGGACAACTGGAATCCTAATGTGTTTTGCATCTCTCAACCTGCTTTAGACTTATCCTGCTGAGCAGAAGCTTTGGAGCATGTCATAGCATTTTAATTGTGCTATCAATCTGCTGACAAATGAGCTTTTTAATCAAAATTAGACACCTACACACTTTAAAAACAGCCCTAGGTAAGGATGTAAATGCTCTGATGGCTGCTAGCTCAGAGTTATTACTTGGTTTTACTCCTCTGGACCTTAATACTTCATTTGATACCATTAATCACAACATGAACACTAACATAGCATTTTAGGTATTTTAGCCTCTGATCTTTATTGGGTTAAATTTATTTATTTAACAGAAAGAATTCTGTTAGATAATGTGGTGGTTTGTCAAGCTTTACATTATTTAAAATCAACATTCTTGCTTTCGGATTCAGATTATGATTAATATACCAGTGATGCTCTGCAGATCAAGCCCTGAAAGCAAAAATGTCTGTTTCTGTGTTTCTAGATTATTTCACAGAGATTAGGTCCGGAATACTCCAAAGTACTTTGAAGCTGCGCTGTGAAGAGACAGAAGCAGTGTTAATTGGTTTTGCTGTTTACCCAGATTTGTAACCATTTCCTGCTGCGTCTGATTTGGAGAATCTTATAAAATTATAAACTATTTTTCTTTTCTTATCTGAAGGGCCTTCATCGTGTGTTCTTGATAGACTGGCTTTTGTGTAAAAAAAGGTGTTGTTCAGGTCCTGGCTGCCTTTAGAGTTTATTTTGAGAAACATGAATGACTCACCCAGTTCCATCACTCAGGCTGTGGTCTGAATAGCCCAGTTAGTGTGGCATTCTGCTACAGTGGACTATTACTGTGAAATGCTCATCCAAAACTTATCAGAGATTCCATCTGTCTGAAATATATTTCAGTACTTACACCCATATTCCAATGTCCTTCTCTAGGAATATTTAACCTCATGATAATCATATTTGTAATTCTATTTAACTCAGTTCCATACTGTCTCTTATCTCTTTAGAATTCTATTATTTTTTTGTTGATTGCTTAGAGCAGTTTTCTTAGATTGCTATCATTATCAATTTGCTCCTATTTCAAAGAAGTATTATTTTTTCTTTCCTTCAAATGATTTTAAAAAGAATACTGTTTTAGCATTATTTAACAATAGTAAGGGCTGCTGTAACGATCAATATCCTATATGTTTGAGCACCAAGAATAATAGCACTGCAGGACATTTTCCATAGTGTTTTTACAGGATATATAGTTTTAGTACTGACTTACATACATCAAAATCTGCTTCTTATGTGCACTGTAAAACAATAATAAATATTTGTGCACAGATTGCAGTTTTATTGCTAAATGCAAAACAACATTAAAGAAGAATACAATTTTATTTGTGTTGATAAATGATTGTTCTGAAGAGAACAGAAGTTGGTTCCCCAGTCTTGGAGCTACAGTAAATAACCATTACTCCTGGTGCTCAGACTCAATCTGCTCCACTGGGTGCCATTAAAGTGGCCCACAGTTAGGAACACAAGCACCGAGAAGCTCTGTAGTCAAAGAAATGTACCTGTGACTCTCTAATCTTTCCCATTATCCCCGAGACCTGATATGTGCACACATTCCTTGGTGTAAAGTGGGGTCATCTTTGTTTTTTTCTCAGCTGGGGGGGGGGGGTGCTTTTAGTTCTAGCAGCTCCAAACACTCAAGAAGAAGAGGTCATTCTTCTCCTCCATTAGTCTCCCTGCACATCGGAATTCACAGCCCTAGGATGCTGCAGTTCTACCCCATCTCATTTTTCAGACCAGGGTTTTATTTTCATGCGAGGTCTGCGAGGAATATTAAACCTGCTGATGTCATGGCCCTTGAAGCCAGGAGGCATGGTATTGCCGCCCCCTGCACAGACTCACAGATATCTGCAAATAGGTCTGGAAATTTGTAAAATCAGATTCATGGCTTGCAGTACAAGGATGTTTTGTGGAACTGTAAAAATAAAACTTTGGAAATAAAGAGCTAGGTGAGATGCAGAGCTCTTACCACAAGAGGACTTCATTAAACTATCTCCCAAATGCCTAGACCTATATTGGGCCCTAAAGCTTCAGGATTTCTGGTCTGAAACACCACCATAGTTAAACCACTAGATGACTGCAAATAGGATTCTCTAGTTGACACATCATACAGTAGGTGGCCAGATACTTTCAGGATTGGAGGAGTGAGGAATGCCCATTTAAACAGGCCACATATTTTGGACTCTGCTGCAACAGAGCTGTTGTTTTACCAATCCACAGTCTGTGTCAGTGTCTTTGGTAGCATGTGGCTTTGTAACAGTACAAAAGCTTCTGCTTATCCGTGATCAGAGCAGTTTGAGTTTGAGGATGTCAACGGCGCTGATGACAACAATGGGCGTCCTAACAGGCCTTCTCTTTTTGCTTCTAGGCTCTCTGGGCACAGCAGGGAGGGTGTGCAACAAGTCTTCGAGAGGAACGGATGGCTGCGAGGTGATGTGCTGTGGGCGGGGCTATGACACCACGCGGGTGAAGCGCATCACCAAGTGCGAGTGCAAGTTCAAGTGGTGCTGTGCTGTGGAGTGCAAGGACTGTGAGGACACAGTTGACGTGCACACCTGCAAGTCCCCCAAGCGAGCCGAGTGGGCGGACCAAACTTGAGGACCCGCCCCCGCCAAGGGAACCGCCTTCCTCAGGACTTCCTCTGGGCCGTGGCATTCTGGGATCTGTAGTGCAGTCCCCCTGCCCCTCTCCCCATCTGCCTCTCCATTCCCTCTGTTGCATGGCTTTTATTTAACTATTACTATCAAGCACTAAAAAAAAAAACTACACTTCTCACAAAATCGCCGTGGCCCTTTTGCACAATATACTCCGTAAACCTGCTCCTCCCCATATTGTGTTCCGTTAATTGGGCTGTTGAGGCGAGGCCTTCAATATATGCTTAAACTGTGACCTCTTATGTTTTATTATTATTTTCTCCGTCAGGAAAGTGGAGGGAATTTCCTCTGAGGGTTCTGTTTTGTTTGCCTTTCTACTACTTTGACACAGATAAGTGCGAGAGCTTGGACAGGTGTGCTGCTTCGAAGATGCATGATTCTTTTTTCAACTTAGGGAACATGCAAAAAAGCATTTGCAGTAGTAGTATTATGGCATTTTCTGTGTATTTACACTTTTTTGTGTGGAAACCACTGGTTTGGTTCTGTCAGACAATCTACCTGTGACCACTATATTCAGCTTTATCATTAAGTTAACAAAGCAAAGCAACTTATTGGAAGGCCAAGACTTTAACAGCATTTTTGCTAGTTGGCTGTGGCAGAACAAGGATACACCAATGAACAATGGACTGTGAGAACAGGATTCCTGATGTGAAATTCTCAGGTGGGATCTGGAGATCTGTCCACACAGTGAAGTGCAAACTGCCTCTGTTTTTCTATTGTAGCTGCCTAAAAATCAAAGAATCACTGCATGATTCAACGAAAAGCAAAAACAGCAGCTCTGTTACTTCTCTGAAGAAAACCCTGCACTAAGGACATTCGCCTGATAATGGACAAAATACATATATATGTATATAAAAATATATGTGTGTATGTTTATACATATATACATATGCTTATAAAAATAAATAAAAAACACAACACATCAAAAAAGAAACAACTGATGTGGTAACTGACGGTGTGAATTCTAAAAACGGTAACAAACGTTCTCATGAGAAAAAAAGAGATGAAAAGATCCGAGATCTATAATCTTTATTCCTCTGGGCTGTGAATGGTCTCCATGCTGTTCCTTGTTAAATTCACCTAATTTAACTTTCCCAAAAGCTGTGTGTTTCAGAAGTGCTTCACAAAAGTTCAAAAAAGAAGTCCTGTAAAAGGTTACTATGGGATAGTGCGGTAAACTAAAAGGAAGATCTAGTGGAATCATGGTAAAGCACATAGAGGTATGATTAAGTATAAATCTGACTGTGTGAAGGCTTTGTAAAGCAACGCAAATGTATGGAAAAACCATAGGAAAGCTGAATAGGTCCCATGTAAATAGACATCAGCTGTGCATCTTGTTTATTAAAGGAACCAGAAACTTCTATTCTGATGTTTCTCAACTGTTAGCTGTAAGGTTTGATACAAAAATGGACAAGAATATCTCAGCAGCTGTGTCCACTCATTCAAAAGGTACATTAACGAAGTAGATCTCACCTTTTCTTTTTAATGTTTTCATTGTAAGCCATTCCTATTTTGTCCCGCACTAGGTGTTTTGCCTCAATAAGATGCAGAGTGGTTGGGGCTTTAAACTCAATGCAGTGCTTGTGGGGTCAAATCCTAGGCGGGGTGCTGTTGTTCCTCTCTTGAGCAAGGTGCTTCACTCAGAGTGTACTAGGAAAAATGCCCAATTGTGAAAATGGTTACTGTGCAGGTCGTTATTGTCAATGAGAATTTTGTGGTGTTGTTCCCAGTTTGAAGACTACTGATTTGTGACTAAAACAGAGGGGCTGAAAAGCATTCTCTTGTCTCTCTTCATTTTGAACACAGGGAGAAATAATGCCGTTTGCTATTTTATTTCCTCCAGCATTGATTCCCACATAATTTGTTCCATGTGCACAGCAGCAGACAAAATGCTGGCATCCTTCCTTGAAAGGATGCCAGCATCCTTCCATCCATTTTCTAACTGCTTTATCCCATACAGGTTCACAGAGGAACTGGAGCCTTTCCTGGCAAGCAATGAGCAAAAGGCAGGGTACACATAAGATGAGACATCAGACCATTGCAGGGCACATACAAACACAAGCACACGCACACGCACACGCACACGCACACTCATACCAGTGCCAATTAACCTACCAGTATGTCTTTGGACTGTGAGACGAAACCAGAGCACCCAGAGGTAACCCACATGAACATGGGGATAACATACAAACTCCACACAGATAGCACCCCAGAACTGAATCCAGGGTCCTAGGTGTGTGAGACAGCAATGCTAACTACTGTGTCACCATGCTACCCTGTTTTTGGTTAATCTTTAATTACTTTCGTTTAGTTTTGCTGATAATCTAGTATGGGATCACTTTGTCACCTTCTAACCTTGGTTCTGTATAGTTTAGACACTCCTTGTTAATTTAAATGACACAGGCTCCTTATTGTGGCTCATTAGAAAATATCGAACTTCACTGCATTTCAAAAAAGATATTGATCATTTTATTTCCATTTTCAGCTGTATACCAGTTGGGAGAAAATTAAAATAAACCGTGTCCACCGTCTGTACGAAGTTATTCATCTTTCTTTCACGGTGACCTGAGCTGTACCATGCTAAATATTAGCACCAAGATGACAGGGAAATTCAGATGTAAACAAGTGTTTTTTGGAACAAAAGATGACTTGATCAGTTGTGAAGAATCAGAGGCCATTAATGGGGAACTGCTGTCCCAATTTCTCAGGCCAATTATTAAATCTCGGTAACAAAATAAATTGATGTTGTAGAAACATTTTATAGACTTTGAATTAAGCACAGAAGCTTGAACTTTGTGAAAGTACAGTAAGCCGCCATTGTTGTCACAAACCCCTGGTTTCACCACAGGTGAGAGAGAGACAGTTGCGATGCATTGAGATTTGCTGCGTCCCTCTCTGCTCACTAGTCATTGTAATGTAATGTATCAACAAATGAGTACAGGTTGAGCAGCACATATTTCAAAACAGTAAGTTTCTAACATGATCTGCACGGGGAGTTAACAAGTCATTTCCATTTATCGGCAAACCATCTTGACATTGAGAGACATATTTCTATTGGATTTAAAGAGATGTATTCACAAGCCTGCTTGTTTTTAGTGTAATAAGACCACTTTACATCACCAGAAGTTTTGATGTCTCATTCTGAATCGCTGAATATGGTGTTGCGCATAATTGAAACTTTAATCTATTTTGTGATGTAAATTTTAGTTTTTACAAGTTACTGTGGACAGTTTACTTTTATTGTGGTTTGAGATGCACTCATCAATGCTGATTCTTTCTAACTCTGACATAAAAAAATAATGTTCATCTTCCTTGTCAAGGCAGGAGTTGGTGAATTTTCAAAATGAGGCTGTAGTGGCTTGAAGACTTTAATTGCATGTCTAGTTTTTTTTGCAAAGGGGGCTTCTGTTGAGTTATCAAAGTGGGAATTCCTGTGCAATTACCTTTAATTCTCCATTCAGTTGAATAGCATTGGTTTTGGGGAGCGATGGCTGTTTTACCTTTAACCCATCATCACAAATGATTCCACTGCTGCCTCCCAAACAGAAAGACCTGGGAAATGGAGATGCGTATGGCACTTATCTGAAATAGTCAGCCTATTCTTGTTTTTCTATTTCATTGTATCTACACAGTTATACTGCAGACTTGAATGAACAATTACATACTTGTATATTCTCATGATCAATGAAAGTATTAGTGTGTTTTTGAAGATTACTTTTTTGCTTTGTTTTGGATAAAGGGTGCATCCAGTTCAGTTAAAGACAATATTATCAGAAGAAACTAATAAAGCAGACTGAACACCAGAAGATCCCCTAGCTTTCAAAGGCCACTTTGAAGTACACCACACAACCACCATCCGATATCTGTAAGTGGGTGGGTTGCATCTCAACCAGGGGTTTTCGAGGACCATGGGATTTGTAGTCCCAGAAGGGTGTGAAGGCTTGCATCACACTGGGCTGTTGCCTAACTGAAATCCCAAGCTACTCTCCTGAAAGCCTTCCATGTTCCGCAGTCTCTCTTCCTGCAGAATGTTCCATGTAATGCAGTTTGACAGGCAATGTCTCCCACAGGAAATGAGCTCATCACATCTTAACCTGGAGAATGGCCTCTGACAATCTGATTCACATTTCTAATACGTGCTGAAGACGGGGGAGTAATGCTCACACAATCTGTGTTGTTGCAACAGGAGGTAAACTCTTGAGGAAATCCACAGGATCTGCTGTATTTTGATCATTAAGAAAATACCTTTTCCCTGTCTGATCAATAAGCCTCCACCTGTTGCAGTACCACAAGCGTCAGCACTCCTGAACCTGGGATGGCATTAGGATTTCTTATTTTACTTCAAATCATTGGATCAATCAGTTAGAGCTTCACATATTTTATAGATTTCTGCTTACTCACCATTTAAGGCTACCTGTAATTCTTGTAGGACTTGCAGAGTTGCAGATCACTGTACTAGTATAATTCAACAAGAATTAATCTGACTAACAGGCTGATCTGAAAAATGAAAATATTGTTTGTTTGCATTTGAATAGAAAATGTAAACTTAATAGAGTATTTTAGAACACACTGTGTGTCCAAGTGTTAAATATAATTTCTGTGCATATGATGATTTTGCAGTAACAGACTTCTGTATTGTATCTTTTTAAAATTAGTTTTTAAAATTATATTTCTTCTGCTGCTGAAGGACAATTGGAAAAATTCCCAGAAAGCTGAATGGTATATGACCTGCATTGGTTTAACATAGCACCAGCTGCTGGCAATCAGGCATGTTGAGATTAACTCGGTGCCCGGGACTGCTGCTCCAAAGTAAACTACCAAAAGTTAACGCTAGTCTTGGGACTGAAGCAGCACCAGGGCTACTATGCTGTGTGACTGCTGTCAGACATGAAAGGAACATCACAGCACATAAAAGCAGCTGTACCAACAGACACCCTGCCACATTGCACTGAGGGAAGGGATTTGTTGAGCTAAATCCCTTATTTTTGCTAGCTTCCCTCTTTCCCCAAAGACTTACCATCATCTTGGTTTTGTAGTGTCTTATCTGTTGTAAAGGCAAAATAAAAAGTAACATAGTAAACACAGTAAAGCACTGAGATGAATGGTAGAGAATGATACAAGCCCTGACAAAGTAAATGCGTGGCTCAGGAATGATTTGATCATTAGAGAACTGCAAACCATTAGGACTGATTCTGAATAAGTCGCTCCACGTGGTGAGCACCACTTTAGGGAGACATTGCATTTGTTTGTTACTTCTGGGTTACCTGTGTGAATTAGACAAACTCTTTAATGTAGTCTTCCAGGTTTTCTGTAAAAAATATCACAAAAGCATTATGCTTGATCCAGCAATGGGATTAACTTATGAGCTGTGATGATTAAAACCAATGCCAAATGTGACAAATTTTCAACATTAGTAACATGGGACCTATGGTATTGTTGCAGAAGCACCTTTCGTGTAACTTGGAATCATAAGCACACGGTACAGTATGTACCAGCCTTCAGGCTTAAATGAAGAAACACAAACTCAGATTCAGACATTTAAACAAGACAATATGAAGTTTTAGGCTTAATTTAGGTCATGCAAAGCACAGCAAAGTGTTGAAGAGTCTAAGACAATCTAACCACAGTTGTCTAACAACTTATCCAGTAACAGGTCTGGTGCGTCCCAGTACAGGGGGAGCTGGAGCCTATCCTGGCAAGCAACGGGTGCAAGGCAGGTTACACCCTGGACAGGACACCAGTCTATCACAGTTAAGACGGAAGCAAACACTCTCACTTCAGGTCCAGGTTTCCTAGAAACCAGCTAACCTCCCAGTATGTCTTTGGACTGTGGGATGAAACCAGAGCACCGGGAAGAAAACCCATCCGAACATGAAGAGAACATACAAGCTCCATACAGACAACCCCAGGAATTGAATCTTGAGCCCCACCGCTGTGAGGCAGCAGTGCTAAGAACTATGCCACCACATCCTTCCCTCCTTTGAAACATGCAAAGTCAGCACGTGACCTCTGCCGCAGAAGAACCAATGGAATTTATGCTTTTTCTTACAACAAGGAAGAGAAACTGGATCCAAACTCAGAAAAAAAAACGTGCTGCCCATTGTATATTAGCAGGGAAATAAAATCTCTTTGAATGTAACAAATTTGACAGAAAGAAATGACTGTAACTGGCTTCTCCAGGTCACCGGGGAAGGACTGGGTATGGTTGTTCAGTTAATTCCCCAGCTTTCCAGCAAATGGGAACTCTGTAGCTTCCCAGTTTCCTCCAGTCCATTCAGACTCTCCTGTCAGGCACCATAGAGCTCAGCATGGGGCGTGTCAGAGGAGTATGACCACACATCTCTGTTGCTATAGAATGTACAAGCGTAGCTGCCAAAGATCTGAGTCTTAAAACATCTAGTGACTCCAAAATTTTTTAAAGAAGAAGTAGCCTAAGCCAATGGTCACCACACCCAAATTAGCTAATGAACAAAGATTTCTACTGATTCTCTGGGTCTGCTCTTGTTTGTCAGCATGAGCGCATGGATGGCTTTTGAATTTTTCCTGTGTTAGGAGCCTGTTTTTAAGCTTTTGTAGCTTTTTATGCGATCATTTATTGTATCTGATTTTGGCTTTTCACTAATGTGCAGGTAGGGGAAATGTTAGAGAGCAAGATTTGGCACAACTCTGACAGGCAATTTTAAGTTCCTGCCATATCTTCAGGATCAATTAAAAAAAATTACATATCTGAAAACAACTGGACCAAGCATGTGGCATGACATCCTTAAGGCACTCTTCAAGTAGATCATCATGGTCACAAATTAGATTAATTTAATAGCCTTTAAGATATTTTATTGGTTCCAGAATGCATTGACTTTTTTGAAGCAGCTAGATACTGTAACTATCGTCTTATTCAACACCAGGTAGATGCACTAAGTCCAGAGTTTACAGCAAGTCCAGGCTTGCTTTTTAAAAGGGGAATCCCTTAGTTTGTTTGAATTTGCTAGGATATCTGACAGATACCCATTTGATCCGGCTTTTGTCTGTTT